CGCATGTCGGCGAGGCACCTGCTCATCTCCTCGGCGTTTAGCGTCTCCTGGCGGTAGCCCTTGACTGCTCTGTTCCGGGTTCCTGGTCCTGGCCGTGTGCCCACTGTGCATAGGATTGCCTCGTGGTCGCTGGCCGTGAAGAAGTCGCCGATTCTCCAGTGAGAGCGTCGGGCTAACGCGGAGCTCACAAATGTGAGGTCTATGATAGACCCAGGCCCGGCCCGATTGAACGTCTCCTGCGTCCCTTCGTTTAGCAGCGCAACGGTTAGCGTTGCAAAGGCATTGAGTAGGGTTTGCCCCCTTATGTTGCTGTTGGGGCACCCCCATTCTTCGGCCCACGCGTTGAAGTCGCCTGCGATGATAGCGGGGTACCGACCCCTTCTGTCGAAGGCGATCGTGTCCAGTGCATGGCTAAAGTCCGTCGTGGAGAGGCTAGGTGCTAGATAGCAGCTGTAGTCCCACATTTCGCCTATACGAGCTCGGACGAAAACCGAGCCCTTGTGCACGTCCAGAAAAGATTTACCGTTTCTTTTGCACAGCCATATCGCGGCCTTGCCCGATGTGTCCGTTATCCAGTCGCCGTCGTCTTTGACTTTGTAAGGTTCACTGATGACAGCCAGATCCGCCTTACATACCCTCACTGACTGCAGGAGTAGGTCCTGCGCAGCCCGGCAGTGATTCAGGTTTATCTGGATCACTTCCATTCGCGGGGCTTGGCTTCGGCTCTTTTTGCGGCGTGAGGACACCGCCTGCTTCCTGCTTGGTGGTTCCTCGACTTCGGTCCTCCTTCGGTGCAAATAAAGCATACGCTCTCGTTGGGACATTGAGCGATTTTGTGCCCCGTCTTGCCGCACTTAATGCAGCACGTACTTCTGTCCACTTTGCTATGGCACTTTATAGCAATGTGCCCAATCTCTAGGCACTTGTATCACCTGGGCTGCGAGTCCCTCTCCTTCACTTTGCAGATATACCATCCTAGCTTGATTTTACCCTTACAGAGAACCGCTTCTGCGTCTTTGCTGGGCAATCCAACCACTGTTGTCTGGGTGTCTCTGTGTGATGGACGCAGACTCCTCAATTTAACCGATTCGGCGTTCACGGCGAATTGGTCCACCAGAGCTTTGGTGACATCTTCGGCCTCAACTAGCGGGTCAAGGTCGCTAATCACCACCGTCCTTGTCCTCGCGCTTTCGGATAGCGCTCTCACCGCAGTCGCTTCTCCTAGAACCGCCTCAAGGCTCTCTCTTATTGCCTCCGTGCTGGTGTCCTCGCTTCTGTTGAGCTCCTGAAGAAGGTTCCCGTTCGCTGTGCGCCTGACCTTGTTTACACGGGTGCTGAGGTTTTGCAGCTTGCCGTCGTCCCTACGGGTGACCATCGCTAGGACTTCGCTGTAGGTCTTGCCATTCGCTTCCACTATAAGGGCGTCCGGGCGGTGAGGCTTTCGCGCCCGCTTTTTTGGAGCAGCCTTTCTCCAGGCGGTGGTCGCGTCCTTTCCAGCGTCCTTTCCAGCGCTGCCTCTCGCGGCTGTTTTTTCTCGGGCGCCTCGGTTTTTGGCATGCTCCTCTTGTGGATTTCTCCTCTTTTTCTGCTGGAAACCCGCGCTCGCGCAGACGATTGCGCTGGTGGAGTCGGGGGGTCTCCCCCGTCTAGAACCGTGCCGGGTTGGCTTAGCCTTCGCCACGGATCTGTTTGCGCCGCGCTGGTGAGCGGCATTGTCCTTTTGAAGACAGACCGGAGTCTGTTGCTCCTTGCTCTCGCTGTTTCGGAGAGGGCTTTTGCATTTGTTGCACTCAGTTTTTTTTTTGCTGGGCTCTCCAACTTGGTTGAAGGAGATCACTGCACCTTCTTGGAGGGACTTCATCCTCGAGAACATCGCTTTCATACTCACATTGATGTGACGCACCTGCATTACGATCGTGAGGTGGAGGACTTCGTCGAGAAGCGCTCCAATCTCCGCGAGCTGTTCTGGTCCAGTGAGCTCCTGGTCCGCTTTGGGCCTCTTAGCAGAGGCAGTTCTTTGCCCACCGGTTGGGCTGCCTGGGTCTCTTTGGCGCTTGGCCGCGTCCTGCAACTTATCATCTTCCCGCGAGGACGGCGGGCCCGCGGGTTTTTCCAGGACTGGTGACCTAAGAAGCTTCGAGCTGCTCTTGAACGCTCCGGCTGCTTCCGTACCTTTGTTTTTATTTCTCCTGCTTAAACTTGGTGCATTCACTGTCGGCCAAGTTCGCCACCGTCTCGCCAGGTTTGTTGTTGGGAATGGGATTTAGGGCCTCCAGAATCCGTGCCCTGGCCGTGGGGGTTCCCACGGGTGGATTTCCACTCGTGTGGTTGTCTCCTGGAGTAGTATCGTTTTTTGTCGACATTCCTTTCATTTGTTGCATTTTATACCTACTGCCAGGTTGTTTGCATTTTAAACCTACTGCCAGGTTGTTTGCATTTTATACCTGCTGCCAGGTGACGTGGCTGCCGGCCAAAATGGCACAGACGCAGACCACGCAGCCGCCCAGCATGGGTCAGACGCTACTTGGGTCTTAGGCGATAAGATCGGTGTGCGCGGATCGAGGTTTCCACCGGTGGCCGCGGATTTCCCCACGACTTTCCGATGGAGATTATACCGCCTCTACTCGGTCGTCAGAGCCCCGTTTCACGGTGTACCGCGTTTTTTGTCTGCTCCTTGACCTTTGGCACCAGGAAGACCTCTGCCGTGCAGAAGTGGTGTCACTCGTTCGGTCCCGGACTCCTTGTCAAGGAGTTCGAGCAGCAGCCCTTAGATGTATGCTACTGCTGAGCGCCGATCGACAAGTGCAACCCGTAGCGGGTAGCAGTCGTCAGCTAGCAGCAACGCACAAATGTGGGCAGTACATTCCTACGCTGGGTGCCGCACCAACACCACCCTCCCTCTAATCAGAACAGACGTTCCCATGTCTGCTTGTACGCGCTCTTTTGTGTACAGTGTAGTTAGTTTATTCCCTAAACTTTTGTTATTTCTAAGTTGTACTTTTTCTCCTACCTCAAAAATTCGATTTGGTCTTGTTGGGTTGAACCTATTTAGATTAGCTTGTTGAGCTTTTTCGATTTGTCATCTTATTGCCAACCTTTGTTCATCGCTGGCTGAGTGCATATCATCTTTTGGTTGCAAATTCGCGACTGAGTGTAGGGTTTTGTTGTACTCTACCGTGGCTCTCATGACGAATTCGACGGTGTCACTAATTTGTTTGTAAATTTTAATACACCTTGCTGTCTTCGTTAGGGTGCTGTGAAATCGTTCCACTTGCCCATTGGAGCTACTGTGTAAGGGAGGTGCGTTAACGATGTCTATGCTATACTGATTTTTCAACAATGAATTTATGGTCTCCGAGTTGAATGATGCCTCATTGTTGCAGTATATGGTCTTGGTTGTAGGAAAAAAATTCACAAGTTGTATGATGGGTCCACGCACGTCTACTATGGCCCTAGAAGGTAGTGGTTGCACTACCGCGAACTTTGAGAATTTGTCGACACAGGTTAAATATAACTTTTAATCTGTGGAGTATTTGGGGCATTTCGCCCGCATACGAAGGGATTGGTGTGACCCCCAACTCCTGCTTCTTGGGGTGTCTGTCGTATTTCGCCCTGTGCATGTTTTGCCATTAATGACTACCTCATTAGCGAGCCTAGTCATTTTTGGAAAATAGTAGTCCTGAAGGACTTGTTTCACATTTTCCTGGGCAGCCCTGTGGGCGCGGTTGTGTTCGCAAGTTATAATTTTAGACTGCTCATTTGCATCTGTGATATCTTTCACGAATCTTTTACAGTGCCAGACCTTACTTGCCGGGAATTCCAGCTGGATGCAAGCTAATGTATGGAGGTCACAGTGAATGGCGTTCACAACATTCACGTTAACGACCTCTTTAACCAACTCGAGCAGTAAGTCTTTGTTCTTGAAATGTATTATGTGGCGGGTTTTGCTCCCGAAAATGATATAATTTCGCCGTGAAGACGTTTAGCCAGGGTTATTCATTGAATAAAGAGCTTGTGCTCCATTTGATTTAACTCCGGCAAACCTCCGTTAACTTCTTATCACTTCAAACTGTCCGAGTCTCTAGGTCAGCAGGTTAAGAAGGGCAGTAACCCTTCCATCCTAAACTACCTTAATCAACATTTGGGGATCACCGGCCAACCGGCCACCAACACCAATTAGAATATCGTCGATTACACATTACGTCATTACTGACAGCCACCGGCCAACCGGCCACTAACACCAATTGGAATATCGTCGATTAGACAACACGTTATGACTGACAGCGGCGAGGGAAGACTACAACTACAATACTTAATTGGCGCCCAACGTGGGGCCCGAGAACCGCCCAAGATTTGTACCGACTTATAAGTTACTCCTTATGTGTGTTTACTTACATAGGAAATTCCATAGGACAAATTCAGGGGGAAATATTCCCTTAGAAGCGAGCGCAAACCAATCTAGTTTTAAAACAATCTTATATATATAAATTTGTTCTCCCCGATCATCAAATGGCAAAAAGGTAAAAACTTAGTTAACGTTGCTAGTGAAACATTGTGGGTGTTAAAATGGGCGTGACAATTTTTCTTTGAGTCAATCGATAGGTGTTGACGAGACTAATACTTTTCAGTTAAAATTTGTTTTCTAGCATGAAAATTGTGGGCGTTAGAGTGGGCGTGGCACACTGATGAAACAAACTTGCGCTGCGCAGGAATCTCTAGAATTTGAATGCCTAGTCCCAGTATTGTATAGTTTCCGAGATCATAGCGTTCATACCATGGCCAGATCGACTCGGCTAGTGATCCTGATCAAAAATATCTTTACTTTATGGGGTATACTAGGGTTCTCAATAAGAAAACACGAACCACTTTTTTAGATTGCTTTTGTTTGTCATAAAATATTTACATATCGGCTTATACGCACATATCAATGATTTATAACCTATACCTTTTTACAAATATTCGTATTGTATTCGATTTTTAGAAATATTAAATTTATGTTATGAGTTTTAAAACTTTTATTTCAACAACTTACTTGAATAAAATTATATACATATAATTAATATTTTTCTTTAACTTAAACTATGAAAATAATCCGTTTCCACATTGCAGCACATTAAAGCAAACGGCGCAAACTCGAACTGGTTTGTTAATTCCGAATTTTAAAATGGGTACATCGTTACTAGAACATTTGGAGCATAGAACCCTTCCACAATGTCGGCTTAAATTACAACAAGGGAAAACATCATCAGAAAATTCTTATAATTTACACTGAATTCGTTCTTACCAATGGTGTTTTCTCATCGTAAGTGTAAACCTAGTTGTACACTCCTGGCATAAGTCACACTCTGACCACGGTGATTCTTGTGGCAATAGGTCCAACAATTTGTGAAGTAATTGATCCGTGGCCAGCTTGAAATTAAAAATATTCATTCCTTCTCTATTTTCAGTGCCAAGGCACGCCCCTGCCTTTACAAGTATTTTACAAAGAGGCGATTGCCCTCTCATAAAGGAAAGCAAAAGAGGAGTATTACCGTCCATATCGGGAACGTTTATTGGATACTGTGGCATACACTCAAGAAATAATTCACAAATAAGTGCGGCTGTATTATCCTCCACAACCCTGCACAATTCGTGCATAGGATTTCGACCTTTTAAATTTGTTGCTTCTGCGTTCACTCTTGATTCAGTTAATAATTCACGTACAATGAAAAGCTGACCATATCGTACAGCAATGTGTAAAGCATTATTGCCGTCAGAATCTGCTGCGTCAAAGTCGGCATTGTTTTGAATCAACGCAGAAACCGCAGGTAGATTCCCGCGTTCAATGGCAATATGAAGAGGCAATTTTTGGACGGCATTCCGCTCATTCATATGGGCTCCGGCTAAAATCAGATTTCTGGTAATCATTTCATTGTGTGATGCTGCCGCTAGGTGCAAGGGCGTAGACTGATTAACGTCATGTACCCGCGAGTTTACATCTACCTGAATAGCTAGCAAAAACAAAACACTTTCTAAATCATCTTTCATAATCGCTAAATGCAAAAAGTTTCGGCCGCGCGAATCCATTTGCTCAGCGGCTGTAGGGAATCTATCTAAAATGCGTTGAGCGGCCTTGTCATTACGAATGCCAGAGCAGCTGCAAACGGTGTATTTCCAGACGTATCACGAAGTTTTAGGTCTATAACAGGGTGACAAAGAAGAATCGATATAATATCTTCATGTTGATTTTCAATAGCTACATGAAGTGGCGATTTGTTTTCAGCGTCTATAACGTTAACATTAGCACCATGATCAATTAAAGTCTGAAGCACTTTGGCCAAGCCCCATTGACAACATAAATGCAACGGGGATGCCTTTAGCTGGGCCTCATCTCCACCCTCCCCATTGGGACCTGGCTGTCGTGAAGAATCTAAGTCGCATTGATTTCGAATTAGAAATATTGCTATTGCTTCTTTGCTTTCATCTATGGCACGATGTAAAAGGGTCTGTTGACATTCCCCAGGTCCTTTTTCCCAACTGTCAGTATCAACACCGTGTCGCACAAGTATTTGGGCCACATCTTCGTATCCTAGTTCCAAAGCAGTCCATAATGGTGAAACTCCATTTTTGTCAGATATTAGAGCGATTCCTCTTGTGCAAAGAGCATCCACAACTCTAGGGAGATTGTATTCGATCGATAAGTCCAATGCGGAATCTTGATCATCTATAATGGTATGAAAATAATAGAATCAAGTAAAGCAATCATAAATTAGTGTACCTGTGATAGCAGTAAAGTCCGCACCTTGCTCTAGTAAAAATAAGGATGTATCACTGTCTCTGTTCTTTATTGATTGATGCAATAGTGTTAAATTATTTGTATTCTTTGCGTTGACATCTGAGCCGCCTCTTATAAGAATTGGAACCAGTTTAGTTCTGTTAAGAGCAAGGCATAGGCTTAGCGGGGAGTCACCATTAATATCTTTACAATTGAAATCAATAACATAGCTCAGATTGTTTGTTAACTGAACAAAAGCTTCTAAGGCTTCAACAGCATTAGCTTCCACTGCAATATGCAAAGCAGACTTTAAACCACCGTCAATGGGTTGTAAATTGCACGAAGCACCATTAACAATTAACTTGTTTACTAGGTTTGGCATGTTTTTTAAACATGCAATATGTAATGCTGTTAGTCCACGTAAATTTATATGATCAAGATTGGTATAATCTGCCAAGAAAATTGCTGCTTTCTCCCCACGATATCCGTCCATTGCAAAAACCTGTAGTAGGCTATCATCCGTTTTTGTCTTTTTAGTATTTGGTTGTGCGCCCCTTTTAATAAGCATTGACGCTACCTTAAACTCTTGATCGTCCAATGATAAACAAAGCTTAAAGCACTCTTTTCGTCAAAAGTGTGCAAGTTAATATCAATATTTGGCACTTTAAGCAAAAGCTCCACCATTTCTACATTTTGTCTTATAATTGCTATATGCAAAGGCGTTTCTCCTTTAATGTTCTGGATGTTTACGTTAGGATTTCTTTTTAAAATCTTTATCCCAACATTTAATATATCTGCGACATTGTTAGGACTATGTTTATATTCCTTGTAATTACAAATAATGTGTAATGCAGTGTCCGATGATGTTCTAAAAATCAATTATTTAAATAAATTGTTTTAATAAATAATTTAAAAAATTTAACTACTTAGATGAAAGGTCTAAAAGACAATTTTGATCCAAAAGGAAGTGTGCGGAGAAAGCGTCACCATTTTTTAAAGCCGCAATCAGGAGTGGGGATCCCTGAAAAAAAAATATTTATACAATTAGCCAAGTAAAAAAATAAATTGTGTTGTATTTATACCTCCATATCAACAGCATTTATGTTGGCCATTCCGTTTTGTACCAGAGTTTGAGCGATTTTGTAATTTTTTGCCGATAAAGCCATCTGAAGAGGCAACAAACCATTTTCAGAAAAACTATTAACCAGTTGTGAGAGCTAAAATAAAAAAAATATATTGCTTATTTCACAACATTACATAACAATAAAAGATTTTTTATATACATAAAGGTCCGTATTGCATTCTGGCATAGTTACCGTAATTTAAAGGTTAAAGATTCACTTAGAAAGAGAGAGACGAAGAAGTAAGACGTGCACAAAAAAACGAAGTTAAGGAACGACGCGATTAAAGAATCAAAAAACGCTGTTTAATCTGATTTAAATTCATTTAAGTTACTAAAACAATATATACAAAACAACATACGAGTATTATAAAAAAAACTACAGGTAGTGGAGCTTCTTATTTAAATAGGAAAAACCAATCCCACATATATGGGGGCTCAACCTACGTGAAAAGTAAAACCACGAAGTTTGCTAAAGAAAAGATTTACAACGACGAAAACTGTGGAAAACGAGGAAGAGAAAAGCTTAACGACGATCAAGTGTGTGAAAACGACTCTATAACCACAACTATTATCTACAATAAACATATATAACGACGCATATGTGTGTTTAAACGACGAGTAGGGAACGTGACTGAGAACTACGAACATTTTTCACTCGTGCTCGCTGCAAGAAATGGCGGCGATTTTTTTTAATTTTATGACAAATTTTATTCGTTGCATTTATTTTTTAATTTGTACTTACACGATGTTTTGATTTCATATTTAACATATATCAATTGACTTGCTCTTCGTTCTTAACATATCCGGCATAAGTGTAAAGAAGAAAAGCAGGCACACGGTGTGCGGGCTTGTGCTTCTTTAAAAAGGCGCGCCATATATCCATGATAGTGTTCCTTCTTTAAGGTCCCGCCACAGATGCTCATTTTCGGGGTTGACTCCCCTAATCTAGAGTATTACCCTAAAATGTCGAGTATTAGTGAGAGCGGTATCAAAAGTTGGGAAATGTTGAGAAACGCATTGATCAAAGCGTTCAAGGCAGAAGTGAATGACGCTCGAATGCATAAATAGTTGCCCGAAAGAAAAATGAAAAACAATGAAAGCGTTCATAAATCAATTTTGTACAATGCCAAAGAGTTTAAGGACAAATTCAGATGCTACAAGAAAATTCACGACAAGTCGAAATAGGTAAAGAAGGTGTGCCTCATAAAAAGGCATCCACGCAAAAACTGTGGTCGGAAGTGCTTTAACTGCAATAGTTCGGACACATATCGAAGGACTGCCCACAGGCAAAGTCGAACCGGTTTAAATGAACAGTAACCAGTACGCAACGCTCATTGACACAGGCAGCAGATACAACATTATGAGGGAAAAAACGTACGTAAACTAAAAAAAGGCTAACTTGAGTGCAGTGAACATTTTTCTTGTCGGTTTCGGGAACGACAACCGGGTGAAACCGTTGGGTTCTTTTAAAAAATAAGTTGAAGTGGACGATCAAGTCCTTAAAGAGTATTTTTTAGTTGTTTCATCTGACTTTTTGGACGTAGAAGTTGTTTTAGGCTCAGAATTTTGTAGCTACGATGAATTTATAATAGATCGGGACGAAACAAAAATACAAGACCATGAAAAGCTTGGCTCGGATACCGAAAAGTGACGAAAATGTTAATATAAGCATTGACGAGAGTGCAACAACTCAAAAATGTATGCCGACCAGTGCAATAACAACAAGGAAGAACTCTAAGACGAGTACTTCGACTATCAGATACCCGTTGCTCAGCTAAAGGGACCAAATGGGGATGGAGATATGCGAGCAGCAAAGAAAGATTGGAATGCACCACCTACACGCGATCTCAATGTATGGCTATGTTGGCGGTAGAAAGACTTAAGCGTTATGGGCGATCGATAGGTATTGACGATACTAATACAGTCGTCTGAAGTCTGTGCAACTGGGTGCCTGGTACTGTTCCCAACTTAGTAGTATGGAAAGACGGCTTCTGGGACAATTTGCATATTAATGTCCACCCCCCTTACTAATTAGCATATTATTGACCCCGCCCCTCACTAATTAACATATATATGGCCCCGCCTCCTCATTAATGTATGCGGGTTCTGGGACATTCAGCATTATCCATAGATTATGTGATTTTAAAAGGTTTAGATGCCATAAAAATGTCACGATCATATCCAGAAAGCTCACGTGACCTTTATCCCCATTATAAGCAATTAATATTTAGCAGGTGTTGCTGTATACTGAGAAAGGTCGCACACTTTCCCCACATCCCCATGTAACAACATTGATCATGAATCCTTTCCCTCATTATCCAAAACATTTAAAGATGGTTGCCTTAGAGGGACATGTCCGATCATGTTGGAGAATAACGTTTCCTATGATTGTAAAATAATTTAGAAATCAAAAGATCCCCAATAAAATAAATCTCAAAAGTTATTGATTCTCAGATGTGGAATATTTTCAAGCAGACATTTTGTTCGTCCACAGAACGTTTAACTGGTAAATTTTCTAAGATCTCTCCTTTGCACAAACGGGTCATAAACATGTCATAAAAGGGATTCAAGCAAGAGCAACCCGAACATGTGCACCTGTCTAATACCTGACCGGAATAAAAGGGACACATCCACAAGTCTGAAGGCGCACGCCCATTGACAAGATCATGGGCCTCACGCCAACGACCACACGACTGACTGCTTGCTCTAATACGTCCCATAATAGGGGTTGAAATCACGACCGCGCAACAACTCGCAAGTAGCCGACATATATCACGCAAGGAAATATTTTCCATTTTTCGTACCTGTAATCTTAACTCGAAATAATGAGCAGAAGTTTATTTCGTAGCATAATAATACATTTATTTATTTATTTTGGTATTGCAAACATGTTTTGTTGTTGTTGGGTCGGGATGGCTTGATCGTTGAAAATAGTTGAAGCCCCAAGATCGAATGGTACGCAAAAAACACGGGGGTACTTTGGGGTTTTTACGCGACGTGCATAGATGTTTATTTGTACACTTGGAAATAAGAACTACTTAAGCCTAACTTAACTTAAGCGCTCCAGAGCAGAGCGGAGACTTAGGGGAGAGGGAGAGCGGACGGCAGTGCGAGCGCGCGAGATGTAGACATTTGGATAAAACTGCCGCTCGACACTGCCTCCTGAAATTAAACGCCCTTTTGACGTGAAGAGTTATTAACTGCACAGTAGAAGTGTACTAGTTTTTTTCTTGTTGTTATATGCTGGTTTCTATCTGTTTAGTAGATGCATACAAGTTGTTTACTAGATGTTACTAGCTGTTTAGTTTCTATATGTTTAGTAGATGTATACAAGTTGTTTACTAGATGTTATTAGCTTGTTAGTAGCTGTTAAGTATCTGGTTTCTATATGTTTAGTAAATGTATTCAAGTTGTTTACAGATGTTATTAGCTGGTTACTAGCTCTTTAGTATCTGTTTACTTGATTTTTACCAATTGTTATAAGCTGGTTAGTAGTTGTTATTAACTTCTACGAGCTGTTATAGTCTTTTGTTAGGAATGATCAAAACTTCTTGATCACTAGATGACTTTCGATGTGAAGTAAAAACTTACACTCTGATTTTCAAAAAACACTTCCTTTTTCATATTATTTCATCTTATGCAGGTAAAATAAATGAATCCTTAACTACGATAGCTAGCCTTACATCCCATAACTATAGTTATTAGCTACAATAAAATGTTTAGAAAGAAAAAAATACATGAATGTCAGAAAACGAAATCTGTCCGGCGTAATACAGTAAAAACAAAAACACTGTGATTATCCCATTTTCTATCACCATAACAAATGTGTATACCCAAACCTAAGTGACCAATTGTATCCTTTGTCCAAAAGTCTGTGACTTTCACTTATAAATTTGTCACCGATAATTTAAATCCCATTAAGCAAACCACCCATTGCTAACCGTACCATAACCCCAGAGTCAAGGTGGTTACCTACAATAAACACAGGTGGTGGTGTAAAGGATTGCTAAAATGCCTCGACGCAGGCGCAAAGGTCAAGGTATTGAAAAAAAATCATGGAATATTATCCTTTCATAAAAAAGGTCATAAAAAATATAATTAGGAAAGTATTTTTTATTTGCGAACCACTAATAACTGTTACCAACAACACAAATAGTTATGTTATAAAAGATTGCTAAAATCCCTTGACGCAGGCGCAAAGGTCAAGGTAATGGAAAAAATTCATAGAATATTATCCATTGACCAAAAAAAAAAATAAATGTACGAAAATTTCTTCTTTTGGATAACAACAAAAATATATATATTTTCTATACTTTGACTTTTCCATCAAAATGCTTGACAAAACTAGTTGTTTCATATTCTCTAATTGAGTAATTAGTTTTCATGTGCCTATTCAATTTACCAAAAACAATATTAGTCTTCTCTCATAAAATTGATCTTTTGGATCCCTCTAATTCCCCACCGGTGAGGTATAGGTTTGCCAACCCCTATCAACCTCCGCAGCATAGATGGGTACTTGTATTTCATATTTAAGATATTTCCATCCTTCTCTAACTAATATCCTTGTATCCATCATGTAAGCAGGCTAAGAATTGTATTGCATGCTTCAACCCCTAGCCACACCCACCACTGTGTCAGATTTAACTTTTCCAATGGTTGAGCTACCTGAACTGTACATTTCATTTGATTTTCCCTTTTCCTTTCTAAGCAATGTACACAATTTTTAAACTGGTTCTAGCATCCCTCTTCAATGCCATTCCCTACTTTATTTTCGTTATATTTCTGATCTTTTCCTAACAGTAGGTTGTTAAACTTTTATCATTTTATGGTATTATTGATCCCAGATATTAACTCATAACATGTAACTAACAGAATATGGTCAATGATATCAGACTCTAAAAAGTCAAGATTTACCTACAATTCAATTTACCATCTACAATCCCTGGAGAATAGTTTAGTATGTGCAGCTTAATTTTCTAATTTATTGATTTCACAGGTATATTTCCGTCTCTTTCCTTCTAATCAATATTAAAAAATTTCAAAACCTGGTTTTGGAGTTATTCTTACAATTAAATTATTAAAAATTAATAATCA